CTTGGAACCTCCTCGGCCCCTGGGGAGCTTCTTGGGGCCTCTTGGGGCCTGTTGGGGGCTTCCCAGGGCCTCCTGAGAGCCTCTCGGGGTGGAAGGCTCGGATTTTCAGTTCGTGTCCCATCTTGGGACTGGTTTGGGGCCCTTCCGGGCCATCTTGGGATCCTCTGGCACCGTCTTGGGGCCCTCTTAGGGTGTCTTGTGGCCGTCTTCGAAGCCTCTGGGGCTGTCTTGGAGCGGGCATTGGGGCCTCTTGGGCCGTCGTGGAGCGTCGGGAAACTGACAAGGCGAGGACTCGAAGAACCTTGAAAAAGGTGATGGGAAATCAATGATGTTTGCCTGCTGGGCTCCTCGGGGGGCATCTTGGACCCCTCTTGGGGCGTCTTGGAGGCCTCTTGGACAGTCAGGGGCAATTTCTGGAGTAATCTCGGGCCGTCATTGGTCGTTTTCGCTGTCTGGAAGCGCCATTTCTGGCCATCTGGGGCCGTTTTCTGGCGATTTTAAAGAGCCCCCAGCGCCCCGGCAGGGCCCCCAGGGCCCCTGGTCCTCGCATGCGCTGTGGGAATCTCCGGACCCAGTCGGTTCGAATCGGCACTCGCAGAAATCGATTCGATTCGAGGCGGGAAAATCGGAACGACCCCTGTCTTGGCCGTCTTGAAACCGTTTCGGGCTACCTCCGAACGCTCCCGGGGCCCTCCAGGCGCTTCCTGGAGGCGTCCTGGGCCGTCTGGAGTCTGGAGGCTGTCTTGGCCGAGGGCGGCCGTGAAGCCTCTTGGGGGCCGTTTTGGGGCTTCCTGGAGGCTGTCTTGGCCGAGGACGGCGTCGAGGACCGTCAGGAGTGTCTCGCGGCGTCCCGGGGTGAGTTTTTGAATGCTTCTTTGGGGCCTCCTGGGGCTTCCTGGGAGCCTCCTGGGGACATTGTGGGGCCTCTTGGGGGCCTCTTGGGGGCCGCTGGGGGCCTCTTGTGGGCCTCCAGGGGCGGAGAGCTCGAAATGTTGGTTTGTGTTCCCCCTCGGAGTTCTTTCTCGAGGCGTTCTTGGGGCACTTTTGGGCTGCCTTGGAAGCCTCTTGGGCCGCCTGGGAGGCCTCTTGGGTCGTCTCGGCGTCCTCGTGGGGGCCTGTTGGGGCGATATTCGGGTGTCCGAGACCGTCTTGGAGCGTTGGGAAAATGAACAAGCAGAAACGCTAACATGCACGAAAAACCGTAGGACAATCAATGATTTTGGCTTCTCGGGGCCCTTTGGGAATGCTCTTGGAAACACCTTGGGCCGTGTTGGAAGCCTTGTGGGCCATCTGGAGGCCATCTTGGGAGCGTTCGAACGATATTTCGGTGACTGTAACCCTCTTGGAGGCCTCTCGCGGTCCTTTCCATCTGTGTTGGGGCTGTCTTGGGCCGTCTGGGGGCGTCCCTGGGCCGTCTCGGCGCCCTCGTGCGGGGCCTGTTGGGTCGATGTGTGTGTGTGTGTGTTGTGTGTGTGTGTGTGTGTGTGTGTGTTGTGTGTGTGTGTGTTGTGTGTGTTGTGTGTTGTGTGTGTGTGTGTGTTGTGTGTGTGTACGTGTGTACGTGTGTGTGTGTGTGCTTGTGTGTGTGTGTGTGTGTGTGTGTGTGTGTGTGTCAGGGATCCGTCTTGGAGCGTCAGGAAGCTGAACAGGCAGAAACGCCGAAATCCAGAAAAAAACAAAAAAAACAATGATTTAGCCTTCTTGGGGCCCTTGGAGGAGTGCTGTTGGACACCCCTTGACCCGTGCTGCAAGCCTTCTGGGCCATCTGGAGGGCATCTTGGGCGTGTTAGAACGATATTTCCATGAGTGTTGCCCTCTTAGAGGCCTCTTGGGGTGCAGTTTTCATCTGTTTGGCCCCCCCGCCTCGTGCCCAGGTATCTATCTACCTATCTATATATATATATATATATATATGTCGGCGGTGCCCGGTGCGGAGCGAACCCCCCCCCCGGTAATCTCTCCTGGGGGGGTTCGAGCTGGCGCCATTCCCGGTGCGAGCCTGCACGAACCCCCCCGGTAAACACGACCTCCTCTGGTAGGCTGCACGAAACCCCCCGGGTAAGGACGCAACCCCTCCGTAAGCGGCGCGCTCCCGGCACGCGCGAACCCCAGCCCCGACGCGCGAATCTTACCAGGACGGGCCGGAACACGGCGGCGGCATTGCATCCCAGGGGCGTGCCGGAACACGGCGGCACTGTTCTTCTCTACGCGGCCGTGCCGTCGACCCCCCACAGCGGCTCTCGGGAGTTGCGCCGCAGCCTCTCGTATTGTGGCCACGAGCCACAATACGAGAGGCTGCGGCGGAACAAAGGCGAGCAGACGCGAATAGAGAACACAAGGCGAGCACACGCCACACTTCGACAGGGAGCCACCCTTCCCAACCGCCCCCCTGCCCCCCCCCCCAACCCACCCCCCACTCCCACCCCCCCACTCCCACAGGGGGGGGGGGGAGCCCAGGTAGACGCAGTGCGGCCTGCACGAACCCCCCCGGTAAAGCGGCAAGGGGGGGGTGTTCTAAGCCGCTGGCGGCACCCGGTGCGGGCTGCACGAAACCCCCCGGTAGTGCACGAAACCCCCCGGTAGTGCTGGGGGGGGGGTTCGTGCCACGGCGCACCGCCGACATATATATATATATATATATAGATATCCGCCGATCCGGCGTGTGAGTTTATAACAGCTGCAGCCTGAGCTTCCGCTCTGCTGGGGGCTGGGTGGCTTCGCCAGGGAAAAAAGGGAAAGGGGGGGGTCTACCCTTTCCGAAGGGGGGGCTTCCCGGGCCCAGGAGAGCCCCAACACGGACCCAGAGGACCCCAATAAGCTCCCAAGACGGCTCCAGAGGGCCCCGAGTCGTGCCTCCTGCTCCTCCCCCTCTTCCACCTCCTGCACCTCCGCCCACACGTCTCTATCCGTGCAATATGATTTTCCCTCCTCCTCCTCCCCATTCTCTACACTTCATCCTCTTCGTCCTTTTCTTTTCCCCCTCGTCATGTTCCTCCTCATGTTCCTCTTCCCCACATCCTCTGCATCGTCCTCCTCCCCCGCCTCCTCCTCCTCCTCCTCGTCCCTCTCTTCCTCTCCTTCTACTCCTCCTCCTCATCCCCCTCCTCCTCCTCCTCCTCCTCCTCCTCCTCCTCCTCCTCCTCATCATCATCATCATCATCATCATCAGCATCCTCATACTGGTCCTCATCCTCATCCTCAGCCTCATCCTCACCCTCATCATCACCATCATCATCACTATCAGCATTAGCACCGTTCTCATGATCATCATCATCAGCAGCATAAACATCAGCATCATCATCATCAGCAACATCAGCATCAGCATCAGCATCATCAACTTCATCGTCCTCCTCCCCTTCTTCCTCCTCCTTCTCCTCCCCCCTCCTCAGCCTCCTCCTCTTTCGCCTCCTCCTCATCCTGCTGCTCCCGTTGACTACTCCTCCTCCTCTTGTCATCTCGTCCTCGTTTTCTTTCCCCTCCTCCTCCTCCACCTCCTACTCCTCTTTTCCATGCTGGCATTGCCTTGCCTTTTCTGCCTTGGGGTGTCACATCCAATCCTCCGCCTCCCCCTCCCCTCCTCCTCCTCATCCTCCGCCGCATCCACTTAAAATGTTGGCCCGCGAGCCCCTCCCTGGTCCACCCGTTGCAGGTGTTCATCCCCAGATCGATGTTTGACGGTCCCCAGAAGCATCCAGTATGCCTTCAGTGAGGGAGGGGGAGACGAAAAAGGAAGGGGATACTACTATATATATATATAGATACACATGTGTCAAGTATGAATGCATGTATGTATGTATGTATGCATGCATGCATGCATGCATGCATGTATGTATGTGTGTATGTATGTATGTATGTATGTATGTATGCATGCATGCATGCATACATGCATGCATGTATGCGTGTATGTATGTATGTATGTTTGCATGTTTGCATGTATGCATGTATGTATGTATGTCTGTTTGTATGTATGTATGTATGTATGTATGTATGTATGTATGTATGTGTGTATGCATGTATGTATGTCTGTATGTATGTATGTATGTATGTATGTATGTATGTATGTATGTATGTATGTATGTATGTGTAATGTATGTGTGCGTGCATGTATGTACGTATGTATGTATGCACGCATGCATGAATGAAGGAATGAATGAATGCATATATATATATATATGCATATTTATACACACATATAAATATAAATATATGTGTATAAACCACCGTGCCCTGAAGCACGACTGAAAGTGTCGTCAGACCCCTGCGATCTCTTTGTATCACCTCATGCCAATCTCCTCCTACGGGGTCCACAGCCTGGGAATTCCTGGCGCTCCTGGGCGATCCTGGGGGCTCCCAGATGGATTTTTCCTGGGGCCGAGCGCGCGGCTTTCCGGGACATGCATGTCCAACGGTGCCTCAGATGGCCCCCAGGACCGTCCTGGAGCCTTTGGGGGGACATCTCCTGGGCCGTCTTGGAGGCCCCAGATGGCGCACGGCCCAACGGGCCAACATCGTCAAGATCCATGGTTGTTCTTTCGGGCGTAGCCTGAATTCGTTTCTCGCAAGGTACACGTCGTTCAATTCATGTCTAACCGTGTTCATTTCTAATGGTGCTCGTTTCTGATTGTTCCTGGCCCCCCGGTGGCCAGGCAGAGGCCCAGGACAGAACAATGAGAAATGAAAGGGTCTTGGCCGCAAAAAAATCAAAGAACTCTCGAAGAAGTAGGGATGGAGAACGTGTGGATCTGACTGAACAGGCTGATCTGATCTGAACTGAACTGACAGGTCGCACCCCGAAGGTCGCAGCTTTGTGTTCGGCGGCCGTGGGCGCAGCCCATTGTGCGATCAGCAGGAGCCAGCTTCATCCTCGCCGGCCGAGGGCGCAACTTGTTGCGCAACCAATGCATAGGAGGCAATCTTACTCTCGGCGGCCGAGGGCGCAAGCTGTATCCTCGGCGGCCGAGGGCGCAACCCATGGTGCAACCAATGGGTGGTTGTTTTACGTTCGGCAGGTATGCTCGGCGGCCGAGGAGCGCAACATATGGCGCAGCGAATACGCGGCTATTTTTCTGTGGCCGCGCGCGCAACCTGTAACGCAACCCTCAGCAGCGACAACATTCGCTACCGCAGGATTCGTTTCTTCTTTCTGTTCCTCCTCCCTCCCACAAGCTGCTCAGGTCCGCCGCCCGCTCGCGCGCGCCGTTTCTCGCCGAGGGCTGAACGGGTGGACCGAGGCTTTGATCAATGCAGCTGGCGCTCTCGACAGGCATGTGCCCTGCAGGAAGTGCTGGCCAATGCGTCGCTCGCTGCAGCCAATGCGTGAGATCTGGCGGTGCCCAAGCGCGCACAAGCTGCGACACTCGAGCAAACCGTCAAAAGTGACCGTACCTCGGCCGTGGCATTTATAAACGCGCTTGTATAACTTAAAGGACATGCTAGCTATCATCTCCTGGGGCGCTCGGGCATTGAAGCCAACGCGTCGGAGTTTGGCAAGAGCCCAACCGAACGCGATTCCTTCACGTAGAGGCTGGACCCCCAACGGAAGAAAACTTCGAGGCGGGTGGCGGCCTCGATCAGAGGCGCGGACCGTCAGTCCCTCTCCCAGCTCAGCGGCCCCGGCGCGGGCCCCACGTCCTGGAACTCGTCGGAGAGGGAGGGCTCACCCGGGGCGGTCTGGAAGACGATGAGAGAGGTGCACGTCGACACCGCCATGACGCCTGGGGCAAAGGAGATGGCTTGGTCCTGGAAGGCGACCCCCGTGCTCAACGTGGACAGCAGCTCGACGCCTCGGGCTCCCACGGAGCGGTCCCGCGAGCCCCACCTCTGCAGCTCTCCCACCTGGTTGCCGATGTACACGTCGCCGTAGCTGTCTACCACCGGCGTCGACCACGCTCCAGGCTCGCACGCGGCACGGCCGCCCATGGCCCTGCGGATGTCGCCGCCCTCCAGGTCGCCTGCGCACCTGTCGCTCCACAGCGTCGGGCCCTCCCTCGTCCAGCGGCTGTGGCCGTTCTGCGGGTCGAGGACCCAGATCTGGGTGGGCGAGTTGTACGCGCAGTTGTGCCCCAGGGCGACGACCAGCCGCGTGTGGAGCGGCATGTGCATCATGCCCAGGCCTGCGCTCGAGGGGGGCTGCGGGGTCTCCTGCAGGGCTGCACCGAAACGGTGTTTTTCGTTTTCGTGTTGTTTTCGTTGCCCCTCGTTTTGTATTCAATCCGCCTTTACCGCAAAACAAAATCGAAACGAAAACGGCCCACGAAATCGCTAAAACACCGTTTAGGTCCAGCCCTGGTCTCCTGCTCCCACTGCAGCCTGCCAGAGCTCGCATTGAGCGCGCGGATCCACCCAGGAGATCCGGGCCAGGTGTTGCAGGCAGGCAGGACGCCTGGCGCTGGGAACGGGTTGCAGCGCTTGTGGTCGTACGCGCTCACGCCCATCGCAAAGATGAGGTCCCCAGCCGGGAAGTACAGCGCATGCGCCTGGGTGTACGTGCCCATGGACCCGTCGCGCTGCCACCTGAGGGCGCCAGTCGTCAGGTCCAGACAGTACGTGGTGCCCTCGAAGTCGCTGAACATGACCGTGCCGTTGCCGTACTGGGGCACGAAGTTCCAGACCGGAGACTGTGGCTTGAAGTTCCACGCCACGCTTCCATCTGCGGCGAGCAGGCCCCAGATCATATGATTTCCTGCCACGAGCGGGTTGGTTTGATTACGGTATTTGTAACAATACCTGTCGGTGCATCGGTTGGCAGCCGCCACTACTATGCCGTCCTTGCCAGACACAGACCCCTTCACCCCAGCGATCTGGTCAGAAGCCTGGACAGCCCAGATTTCTTCGCCGCTCTCGAGCGACAGCGCGAACACGAAGCCTGACGTGGTCGACCCCACCAGCATCTCTGGGGTGGTGGACTGCTTCCCCTCCCCCTTGACGCGCAGGAACCTCTTGCCCAGGGCGGAGAAGCCTGCGACGCTCTGGTGCTGTGTTCGCAGCCAGCGAATTCTGGCCTTGTGCTCGCCAGTGGTCCCCCGGATGATCTCCGCGACCTCGCCCACGTCTCCGCTCCTGTAGTACTCCTTGCCGTTTGCGTGGTATCCCACGCCGGGCCTCACCACCAGACGGTCGCCGACCCTGATTTGCCCGAGAGACGTGGGCCCGCCATGGCCACCAACGTTCTGGAACTCTGGGCGGAGCTCTGCTTCCTTAGGAAGCAACTGCTGGGAGGTTTTCGTCTGAAAAGTGAAAGAGGATTAAGCCCCATTTGGGAGCTGTTACGCCGGCGTGGGCCTCGGACCAAGCAGGATGAAGCCGGATGAAGCGGGATTCAGCGGGCTTAGCGGGATGGAGCCGGATTGAGCGGGATGGAGCCGGATGAAGCCAGATTTCGGACCAGGGCAACATCAGAACTTGACCTCCCAAGAGTTGCATCCGACGCTTCCGTCTGCGCGTCTGGGCGGAGCTCGTCCTCCGTCATCCCGTCCAGGCTGACGTCCTCCCACCCCGAGACGGTCCTCCGGCCACTGGAGCTCGCGGCCAGGAGCAGGCTCGGGGCGGCGGCGAGCTGCCCCCGGGGCGCGTAGCTCCAGAGGAGGTCGCCAGAGGCAGTGAACTTGCGGACGGCGTCGTCCGAGCCGAGGTAGATGTTCATGTCGCCGTCGATGAGCGGGGCCCCGACGGGGATCGTGTTGTAGACACCCTCGGGGTGGTGCCAGCCCCAGGAGAGGTTCTCGGCCAAGCTCGTGGCCCCCGCGAACCTGGACGCCTCGCTGTTCCCGGGGTCGCCCCAATAGAACTTGCCCTTGCTGCGAACGACCCTGACATTGTCGGCGAGGTACCTTGTGACGCCCGCCCCGTTCATCACGCCGAGCGAGGAGACGATCCCTGGAGAGGCGCGAGTCCTGAGGACAGCCCGTGCGGGGGCAAGCGAGGACAGCGCTGCGGCCACGACGAGGACACCCGTCGCCATTGCGCCCAGATGCGCAAAACAAGCGAGGTCAGGGTCGCGGATGCTCGGAATGTACAGTAACAGGCCAGGCTGCCCTTGAGTGAAATTGCCTTGAGCCCGAATGGCTACCGACCGTAGAACTCGTTTCGTTGGATAAGGCATTGAGCGGCGAGCGTGGAAGCATAATTGTAGACCATGCGTTTCTACGTAGACAACTCTGCGTGGAGCCAGCAGAGCAGTTGCATGGACAGGGAAAACAGAAAAGGATGAGAAAGAGGAGGAGGAGGACGAGGAGGAGGAAGAGGAGGACGAGGAGGAGGAGCACGAGGAGGAGGACGAGGAGGAGGGGGAGGAGGAGGTGGAGGACCACAGGGGAGTTGGAGGAGCGGGAAGGGGAGGAGGAGTAGGACGTGGAGGAGGAGTCCAGACTGGCTGAACGCGATAATGCGTGCGGGGCGTCGCCCGATACATGCTCGCCATTTGGGATGGTGGTGGGGCCCGAACGGCGAGCTGTCTTGTGACTGCATGGTTTTAGCGTTACAGCCTTGTTGGACCCAAATCCGCCGACCCTGCGGCGTGTGTGAGGGGCTTCTCCGTTCGACTCGTCGTCTCCGTCGTCTCCGCTCTCCCCCTCCCAGGCCAGGGCTCTCCTCCTCAGGCGCGCTATCCAAAACGAAATTAAACGACGTCGTAGTGGAGTCGAAGGGAAGCCCCCTCCCTTTGATCCCTTCCCCGCAGGGGGGGGGGGGGGACGGGGGGGGGGCCGGGGCAGATACGACGCCCGCCGGGGCGACTTTCCTCGAGCGGGCACGCGGGAGCACTTCCTCCCTCCTCTCCTCCTCCTCCTCCTCCTCTCCTCCTCCTCCCCCTCCCCTCCTCCCTCTCTCCTCCTCCTCCTCCTCTCCTCTCCTCCTCCTCCTCCTCCTCCTCCTCCTCCTCCTCCTCCCGCAGAGGCGTCCTGGGAGCGGGCCCCGAGTCAAAATACCACCCCCTAGGGCGCATTTTCCTCGAGCGGGCACGCCCGAGATGCACTTCTTCCTCTTCTGGGAGCACGTCCAAAGTCAGAACATCACACTCCCGGGGCGCACTTTCTTCGAGCGGGCACACAAAGGATGCACTTCCTCCTCCTCCTCCTCCTCCTCCTCCTCTCCTCCTCCTCCTCCTCGTCCTCCTCCTCCCCTCCTCGTCTTCCTCCTCCTCCTCCTCCTGCTCCTCCTCCTCCTCCTCCTCCTCATCCTCCGCTTCCTCCCCCCACTCCTAGCCCTTTCGATCAGGGTCGGCGGCACTGGCCGTCAGGCCTCTCCAATACAACGAATCTAGCCGGGCCTTCCTGGGGGTCCTTTTGAAGTTCTTTGTGGCCGTCTTGGGGCCCTTTGGGGGCCGTCATGGCACCCTCTTGGGCCGTCTTGGCGGGCTTGGGCCGCATTGGGGCCCTCTGGGGACCCTCTTGGGTCCCCTTGGGGACCTCATGTGGCCCTCTTGAGGCTCTCTTGGAAACCGGGACCCTCAAGGGCCTCTTTTGGGCCGTCTTGGGGCTCTCTTTGGCCGCCTTGACGCCCATGTGGGCTATCTTAGGGGCATCTGGGGCCGTCTTGGGGCGGGCTTGAGGGCCTCCTGGGCCGTTGTGGACGCTGTAAAGACCAAAGAAGCGGATATGCTAAACATGAATGTTTTCCCAAGGGAATGGCCCGATGTTTGCCTCTTGGGGGTTCCTTTTGGGGGCCTCTTGGGGTGTCTTGGGGGCCTCGTTGGCTGTCTTAAGGCCATCTTGGGCCCTCTTGGAGCGCTCTTGAGCCGTCTTCGGGCCCTCTTGGACCTCTCCGACGCCGTCTTGGCAGTATCTTGGGCGCTCTTGGGGCTGTCTTCGGCCGTCTTGTGGCCTCTTTGGCGCTCGGGAGGCTGACTTGGGCCGTCGTGGGCAAAACCTTGCCCAAGCTGGGGGGATTAGAGCCGAGGCCCGCGTTGCCTACCGCCCACCCACCCCTTGTTATTTGAGCAGGGACCGACCGTCCCAGCTTTCTTATAGTCCTCCCACGAAATGTTCGTAGAACCCAAAAATGTTCTAAGAACAAGACAGGTGTTTTTAGTAAATAAGCCCGATGTAATAAAACAAAGAAGACTCCGCCAGAAATGTTCTAAGAACATTTCGTGGAAACCACAAAAGGTTCTCAGAACATTGTTTGGTAGGGCTATAATCAAGCCAGGACGCTTCGCCACTACTTGAGATATTTCTCCCGACTAGCGGATCGCGACGCTACGCGCGCTTTCCGTCATCCGCCGCCCCCTGTGGCTTGCCACAAGGGTGTACAACTTGCCAAATGCCTGGCAACGAACTCCCCGTGGGGCGTCGGGCCAGCCCGCCGGCCACCCGGAAAGCTCCTCAAAACCCATCCCTCGATCGCCTTCACGGCTATGATGCCCCAAGATGGCCTCCAAGATGATCCCAATACGCCTCCAAGACGACCAAGACGGGCCCGAGAGAGCCCAAGATGGCCAAACAGTGTGGCCAAGACGGCCAGAGAAGCCTCCAAGAGGCCTCTCAGACGACCAAATAGGCCACTCAGGGGATCCACAGGAATGATCGAAAAGGTCAAAATCAGTGATGTTCCCTGAGTTTTGAAGGTTTGGGGCTTTTGCGCCTTTTCGGCCTTCCGATGGCCCAAGACGGCCCAACAGACTCCCTGGATCGCCCCACGATCGCCCAAGAGGCCTCCAAGATGGCCCCAGGACGGCCCAAGAGGTTCCGGAGACTGCCCCCAAGGGTCCCAAGGCATGCCAAGAGGCCTCCGAAACGCCCACGATGGCCTCCAAGACGGCCCTGGAGCACCCCAAGAGGGCCCTAAGTCGGCCCAGAGAGGCCCCCAAGACGGCTTCCGACGGCGTCAGACGGGCCGGCCAAAGAGACCCCCGAGAAGCCTCCAAAGGCCCCGAAGAGGCCTACGGAGGCCTCCGAGACACCTCGAAGAAGCCCCCAGGAGGCGCCCAGGAGGTCCCAAGAATGACCCAAGAAGCTCCCAAGAGGTCTCCTCATCCTCCTTTTTCCTTCCTCTCCTCATCCTCCTCTTCCTCCCGCGTGTTCCCCGAAAGTCTTCCGCAAGGGCTGAGGAAACGCATGGCCCAGTAGCGTGTCCAAACCTTGGTCAGAAAATTAGCCACATAGGCGTATCCTCAAAGGCAGGGGGCGGCGGTGATCGATCCGCCGCCCCATGTGCTTGCTACAAGGTTGCACGGCGCGCCAAATATCTGGCAAATTTTGGTACTTCTCAACTCCCACTGGGGTTTGGGCCCAGCCTGCCGGCCACCCATAACCCTTGCCTGGAGCAGGCAAGGGTATTTCGCTGAAGACGGCCCCAAGATGGCCTCCAAGACGGCCAAGATAGCCAAAGATGGCCTTTAAGTTCGTTCGCCAAAGATGGTCCAAGATGGCCGGCCTTCAAGATGGCCCAGGAGAGTCCAACATGCCTCCAAGTCTGCCCAAGACGCCATCAAGACGGCCCAATGTAGCTCGAAGACGGCCGAATAAGCCCCCAAGACGGCCCAAGAGGCCTCCAAGAGGACCTCCAGGAAGGCCCGAAGTGGTTAAACTCATTAACTCTGTTGTTACATATGTGCGATGCTCTGGTGGTTGCTCATTTTCCGAATTCCGACCGCCCAAGACGACCCCGGATGCCGCTACTATGTCCGCAGATCCCTGGGCGGGGTTGGGCCAGCCATCGGGCCCCTCTCGGCGATGGATGGGCCAGGGGGGGGGGGGGGGCGGGGCCCCCCCACCGGGGCCTGCCCCCCCCCCCCTTGACGCTGCCTCTGGAGAGGGCGCCCCCAAGCGGCCCTTGAACCACTCCTGCACACCGTCCATGGCCCGGCGTCCCAGGCCACGCCCGGCCGTCCGCGGTGACGAGGGCCAGGGCCTCGCACCCCTGACCCCGAAGAGGACCCGCAGGAGACAGTCACAAGGGCGGGCGAGAGGGGGGGATACAGCAGGAGCTCGACCACAAGGACCCTTCGACAAGAGACCCAGCCCTGAGACCCCAGGACGTCCATGGAGTTTTTCGGTGCGGGAAGCTCACGCTTTGCCATGGCAACACCATCGAGACCCACGAAACCCAGGGCACCCTGGTGGCAAGCGGGGCGTTTCTCGGCATGGGTCTCCACTGTAGCACTGGGGGGATTCACGAATCAGCTCCATGCATCTGGCTGCTTCCCGCGACTCCCAGCGTCGGAGGCGCCCGTGCATCGAAGAGAGCGCTGGGGGCGGGACCGAGACCAGCCGCACGCCGCCGATCTCGCACCTCCCCCTTCCCCCATCCCCCGAGGCTGTCCGCCCCGAGTGATCCTCGTCGCTTGGCTTTCGGGCCGCTGCCTCTCCCGCCGCTGCTCTGGACGACTCGGGAACCCCTGGAACGCCGTCGGCGAGGCGCAGCTGCCAGAGAGAAGGCTTGCGGATGCCATGACAATGAACACTCTGACAGTCCGATAATTGTATTGAATATGTGTTTTTAAATGTGTAAAACGTGCTCTAAACATGTCTCACACATGCTTCTTACATATCTAAAACATGCTTGAAACAGATGTGAGACATCTGGAAATTATTATGCAACACGCTTCCTCTCCATTGATCGTCCTCCACAACCCAAGGCTGTAAAACCGCCTGGAACCGACGAGCCCTTCTCCGTCCGACCCGACCTTGGCCTCGCGCCTCCGCGTGGCGGCTCTCGGCGCGCTCGTCCGCCCCCCCCCCCCCCCCGGCCTGCCGCCTCGCGATGCCCGCGAGTGCCGACGCCCTGGCCTGCACCAGCTCGTCCTCTGGGCTGGCTCCAGCGCGACCTCCTCCTTCTCTTCCTTCCTCCCTTCCCCCCTTCTCTTCCGCCTTCCCTCCCCCTTCCCTTCCCTTCCTCCCTTCCCTCCTTCTCTTCCTCCCTTCCTCCCTTCCCTCCCACTTCCCTTCCTCTTCCCTTCCTCCCTTTTCTTCCCTCCCTTCTCTCCCTCCCTTCCCTCCCTTCCCTCCCCCTCCCTTCCTCTCTTCCTCCCTTCCCTCCCTTCCCTCCTCGAGGGCCCTGGCTGTGCCGGGGAGTTCTCTCCCACGAGGTGGCCCAGGCCACCTTCGCTCCTGGTGTGAACTGTACTTCG